TTCTTGCAGATGAGGTGGCCAAAAAGGCGTCTCAGCGACGCCTTGCTGCTTGGAAAGAGGACATTCAAGAAAATGTTGCGAAACTGGGGAAGTGGGTTCAGCAAAAACCACCTGATCCACCTACAGCAACACAGGTCGATGGTCCTATTTTGCCTGAAGATAAGGCAAGACAGGAGGCAGCTGCGTGGCACACGCATTGGAATCCGGACCACCTCCCACATTTAGACCAGGTTTCAAATTTGTGTTTGCAGCTCAACAATCAGGTCGACCCAGTCACGCCTGAAAGCATTCAAGTGGTTGGGGCTGATTTGGCGCGTTCTGCGTTGAAAGCTAAACAAAAAAGCGGCTGGTATGGATGCTTGGACTGCGGCTCATTTGTGCAAGTTGCCGGAGTCCTTTTGGAATCACGTTGCAGTCTTGTGGTCGGCGTGCATGCAGTGTGCGAAAGTTCCTACAATGTGGAAAGATATTCGCATAGCCTTGATTCCAAAGGCGGCCGGGGGCCTGCGCCCACTTGCCATCACGACGGTCCTGTGGCGCATCTGCATGAGTGCAACTTTGCAAAAGCTCCGACCATGGATACAAGAATGGGCCTTGCCTCAGCTTTGTGGCGGCCGTCCAGGAAGAGGCATTATGGATGTTCATGAATTGCTCTACGAAGACATTCGTGCTGCCAAACGTTCAAGAGTTGATTTTGTTGGCTGCAAGGCCGATATCCGTAGGTGTTTCGATTCAGTTTGTCCAAAGACTGCACTTGCTATTTGGCGCTGGTTGGGTGCTCCGGCCAGTTTGTGTGACATGGTGGAAAATTTTTACACTGACCAACGCAGGTGGTTTGCCTGGCAAGGCATTTTCCATTCAGAGCCCATTTGTGCTCGGCGGGGGCTGCTGCAGGGCTGCCCGGCAAGCCCAGCCTTACTCAATGCGGTGATGGTAGTCTGGGTGCGCTTCGTTCTTTTGCAAGAGCCTCGTGTTTCTCTTGCAGTTTATTTGGATGACCGCACAATGTGGAAGAAAGGTGTCAACGGCATTCACGTGGTCACCAACGCCATGCAGGCAGGTGCGCAGGTTGATGCAATTCTGGGCATGGAACTCCATCCTGACAAGTTAAATAGTTTCACAACCAAGCAACATTTGACGCCTCAGCTGTCACAGATACAGGACGTGTTGGGGGCTCCTTGCAGCAAGTTCACGCTTCTGGGTATTCAGTACAATTTGGAGCGTGCAGGTGCTTGTGTTAATGCAGAGAAGCTTTCCTTTGACATTCAGGAGAGGTGTCGCAAAATCAGGTTGGCAGCGAAACGTTTGGGCACCCGCAAGACCTTGCTGGGACAGTTGGTGATCTCTTTGTTTGCATGGACAGGAGCTTTTCACCACTATGATGTTGATACCATCAAGAGTTGGACCTCCAGTATTGAAGCGGCGGTCTGGGGGCGCAAGCCTGCCCCAGGTCGCAGTAGATTGCTGTTCTGGAACTCTTTGGGCACACCGCGTTTGCATCCTGCTTTTGCGCTTCACTTTGCTGCAGCCCGGGCTGAATGGCAGCGCCAGTGCCGCTTGGCCATAGGTGTGCCCGCCGCTGTTTCGCCAGGCCCAAGGTGGAATACTGTTTGCAAAGACTGGAATTGGCGTGTTGAGGGTGGTTTGTGGATCACTCCCGTGGGGACTTTGAAACCAGGGTGGATGTCTTCTTCAAGCTTATACAAAGCTGCTGCTGCAGCATGGCTGGCTTTTATGTGGACGAAGGACACCAAAACGGAGGGTCCTTTACCTGAAGGTAAGTTGCCTGTGTTCCAATTCCAGGCCAATGTGGCGCATGATTTGAACTATTGTGGTCGCAGAGTCTTGACAGGTGCAGCAGTGGATGGGAGAGTTACTCAACGTTTGGAAGTCGACTTGCAGTGTGATTGTGGTTTGAGCTCTCCTGATCGTGAGCATTTCACTTTCTACTGCGAGGCAAATCCTTGGCATGGTGATCTCAAAACTCCAACTGAAAGGCGGTTGCTTGTTCCTCTTGTGGATGCTCCAGCTGTTCTTCCATTTGAAGATATGACGGCCGACCCCATTCTGGTGGCTTTTCTACAACAGTTTGACCCACATCAAACGCCGACTTTGGGCTTGGATGGAAGTTGCGCAATCGCTCCAGGGTGCGAACTTTGGCAGCGTGCCAGCTGGGCTGTGGCGGCACATCTTGGGCCCACGGTCAATGGGTTGGTGCATGGTTTCGAGCAAACTCCTGCTGCGGGCGAGAGAGGTGCACTTCTTCAAGCCTGCTTGGCTTCCCATGAAGCGAACAGAGCGGTGCGCTTGCTGATTGACAACCAAGCTCTTGTGCAACGTCTTCATCGTGGCATGCGGCTTGGTCAGTGGGGTGGAGATCTTTTTCCATACTGGCATTATATCAGGATGCTTTTGGTTGATGGCTCTTCTTGTGCTTGGATTCCCTCGCATAATAAAGTTCCTCGATGGCGCCCACCCGAAGGGTGGCTTGATGTTTTGCGTTGCCGCATGCTCAATGCCAAAGCGGATGCTAGCGCGGCTGATCTTACAGGTCAATTTCGGCAGGTGATTGCTACTTGTTTGTCACAACACAGAGAGGCAGTTGTTTGGGCTGGAGAAGCTTGGAAGGCGCAACTAAAGGGTTCTCTTCCCTACTGGCAAGTTTTGCTTGAACACGAACCACGTCAAAACAGGTCGTTTGAATGAGCGTTTGCTGCTTCTTCAGCTGCATGGGTGGTACTTTTCTTGGCTTGAACTTGCCCTCCGGTTTGTTCAGTGCAAAGAGCTCTGGCTCTGCGTTGGCAATTTCGGCGTCTTAACTACTTCACTTCGGTGAGGAGCAGGTTGACGTCCTCCTCCAATCCAATCCAATCCAAAAGCTAGATGAGCTTGTTGAATGCGTTCTTGAAGTTCCCGTTCCTGGTTCTGAAATAGTACTGTGTACTCTTGCCAAGTCTGCACAGCGCCAGATAGGAAGGATTTCCATGATCCTATGAGATTGGATCTCGCTTGAAGGGCTTCTTCCACATCCTTTCTCGCAAAACCCAAAGTTCTGACTGCTGAATGCAGTTCTTTTGTGGCTTGTGCACCTTCCTTTTTGGTCAACTTCTGCATCTTCTGTCGCATATCTGGCGGAAGCTCTGACTGGCGTGCCCGTGCCATCTCCATGAACTCTCGCTGTTCTGAGTCCATAACCAGCTGAGGCGGTATGGGACTCTGAAAAGTCGGTGCCGTTGGTGCCACAGAAGTTGCTTGTCGTGTCGATGATGGCGGTACCATCGACTGAGGCGGAGGCATAAATGGCATGCCTTGCGACATCATCATCATCTGTGGGCTCGGCATATTCTGCATGTTGAAGTTGGTCCATGCAGTAGTTGGTGGAGGCATCGGAGGTGGCGGCAGAGGTTGTGTAAAACCTTTGCCTTGCCCTTTCCCCGGACCTCTTGATTGAGCACTTTTGGACCTGCGGCCCTTTGGTGTCTGTGTCCTGCTCTTTGATCTCGCTCTGCTCCAATTCTGATAGCCTTGTTGACCTCCCCAACCAGTCTGATCGTAGTTCCAGTTGGCGGCATAGTCCTGTCGGCCTCCAGGCTGATGTACATAAGTGCGGTCGATAGTGTTCTGCCAAGGCTGTTGACAGGTTTGACAGAATGTTGCCGTGTGCTTGCGCAGCTGACGGCACCCTCCACAACGCCACGGTGCATTGCCCGACATTGCTCTCGCAATTCCGGCAAGAAATTGTGCGTCTTGTGAGTGATGACTCCTCAGGACCGCAAAGATCTTGCGCAACTTGGTGGGTGGCAAAAGAACCAGGCCTCTTTTGTGGAAATACCACTGCCTCCTTGCGGAAGCTCTCGCACGCCTCAATGCCCTTCTTCGAGTGGCTAGAGTCGTGGTTGCAGTAGGTCTCGTCCGCAATGTGCACAAAATTGATCAAATAGGTGAAGATCACAAAGACAAGGAAGCACAAATTGCCCATGTAAAGCCCGATCACGAACAAATACACAGGAAAGATGTGAAAGATCACGACTGTGCAAGCCCGATGGTCAGGTTAAACACAGTAAAGTCGAAATCCACAAGCAAATTCCAGGGTTAGACCAGTTCAGAAAAGGCAAGGGATGTTTTGCAAATACCCGGGTGTTTTGTGGCTCCGGGACGCTAAATAAAACAGAATCAATCCAAAAATGAGAGTGAGCAGTAGCAGAAGGTCACGCAACTGAGTTCACAGGTCAAATTGGAGATCCCTGAAGGCAAAGTTATCGATGCCCGCGGCCAAAGAATTGCAATCGCCGCTAAGGTTAGAGGGTACAGCTACCGAGGGGCTTGGCTTGACCCGAAACCTTATATATAATATATATATATATATATTATATACAATATATATATATATTTCTATCTATCTATCTATCTATCTATCTATATATATATATATGGGTCACAGCCTCTGAATAATTAGCATTCTTTTCGAGATGAACAGCCACATATCGTGATTTTGATGCGGTTTCACCGAAACCTGGGGTTTTTCGGGCTTGACCTAGCCCAGTTTTTAGGACGTTTTGAGCTATTACCCTCTGGTAAACATACAAAAAAATATATGGAAAATCACCATTTTTAATGGGAAAATACACTATAAATCACCATTTTCAATAGCAACCTGTTAGTTTACCAGAGGGTAAATTTATTGGACAAAGCATTCAAACTAGGTCAATTTTTTTAAGGGGTTCCTAAAATAATCCATGGCAACACTCGCGGTGAGATTGGCTCCAATAAATTGGATCATCCCTTCTCGGTATTGAACCTCCACGGCGGATGTAGGGGAAAACAGGCCATACATTTTTGGGCTGTTGAATATGAAGGGGGGATGCCCAAAACTGGAACTTCACCACCAAATTACCGAAAAAAAATGGGATATCAAGCATAGAACCATCCTAAATCCTGACGAAATCACATTTTTTCACCATGTTTGATGGTTATATGTTAAAATCCAACTCAAATCTCCCATGAGTTCCCATGAAATGCCTATGATCCTATTGATTCATCCAGGTGAGGACGCCGCGAGTGGCGCCCCCGTGCCGCCACACGTGCAGCGGGTCTTCTTGCCACCCTTGGGGCCAAAAGCGATGGAGGATGCGGAGGTCGAAGAGAGATTTCACTGGGAATTTCTGCATCAAAAATGGGATGTAACGATCAACAATAAGGACTAATTTTATGACTACCAACCCTGCTAACCACAGGAAGGGTGTGAAGAATCTGTAAGAAGAAAGTGTAAGAAAACTGTAAGGTTTTTTGCTTTAGTTTAGACAGTGTAAGTGAATGTGTGAGACTGGTTAAGGCTGTGTAAGTGGATGTGAGAAAAAATGCAGGCAATGTAAGTGGATGTATGGGAATGAGAAGGGCCAGGCAATGTATATAACTGGATGCGTGAGAAAGGTCTGGTAGTGCAAGTGGCTGTGTGAGAAGTGGATATATAATGGGGTCTAGTTTAAAGGGATTTTCAGGGGAGTTTACTGGGATTTCAAGCATGAAACATGGCGACAAATGGTTATTTAACTAGGATTTGGTGGGTTTCATCGGATTTGATGGGATTTTTGCATGGGATTTCATGGGAATATGGTGAAACATGGTGATTCAAACATCAAACATCGAAATTCAGCCATGAAAACGGGATTTTAGATATTTTAAGGGGATCTAAAGGAATTGGATTGAATTTAAACATGGGGATTTGGGTAGAAACGATGGGGATCTGTTCTTTTTTTTGTTTGGTTTGGGATTTTAACCATTAACAAATATGAAATATTATGATTTCATCATCATCAGATACGAAAATCAAGAATTGTATCCAAATGAGGGATGGAACCGACCCATGTATTGGCATTTCGCCATTGAAACATCGTTTTGTTTTCACCAAGTTGGGGTTGATATATCATGGATCTGGGTAAATCATAACGACCGAGCCCTTTCTCCCTCACTGGAAATCATGGTTAATTAGAGGAATCACCCCCATTCATGGCCTTAAGATTCAGCTTGGTGAAATATGATTTCATTTACCCAGATGGATATATCATGATATATCCATTCAGTTGGGTGAAGCGGGTGAACATAGACCAGCAAACGTAACTTGGGCGTCCAACTGCATGGAGATTATCCCGTGAGATTTTTCAATGGAGAACGGGATTGAACCAGGAAAAAAGGGGTGGTCTAAACGGGATTTAAACAACCAGTTAATGGGGATTTGAACCGTAAACATCATGATTTAGCCAATGATATATATATACACACATATATATATATACAATATATGTTTGTTCGAAAACGAGGGATGTGTGCCCAAGTGCAGCATGAACATGACGAGATCACCAAGTTGGAAGATCATGGGCATTTGAAGAACTTGGAGGTATTCGATCATCTACCAATGACACGAGGACATCAATTTGTCATGGTTATTTGGGTGTCACAATCAATGACATGTGGACACCGCAGATTTTGGTCGGAAAATCACCATCCACGACTTCACCATGGATCAAAATCATCCAAAGCCCAAAATCGTTTTGCAAAAGCACCTGAGGATCACTTCAACAAGATATGCTTTGCAAACGAGTTTCACCGTAAACAGCCATGTTTGGCTGACAAAGTACATATTTCTTCACACAACTGTCAACTGGACTGTTCATAGATTTTTTTGGCAACATTTCAGGGTGTTCCATAAAAAAACAGAATCGAAGACCCCCCAAGTCACTTTCCGAACAGGTGAAGCGCTCGATCGAGAATTTGCGGAAACAACTGAAGGCGAAGGATCCAGCTGGGGTATAGGTTTCGGTGCTGCCGGTGGAATTTGCTTTGACCTAGAGTCTTAGATAGTGGTTCGAGGAAATTTTGGGCTGGAAAAGATAGATTTGAGTGAAATCCGATGTTGTAAAGAGTGGAAACAAAACATTTTCCATCTTTTCGATGTCACTAAAATTGAATGAAAGTGAGTTGGTCACGGTGGATATGACCTCCACAAATTCACCCGAGGTGATCTTCCAAGTAGACCCTTAGATTGCCATAGATTTCCTCATTTTGCTGGTCAAAAATTCTTTTCAACTTCATTATCATCAGAACTAGCCCTATATTTTGTTGGTTATATAACCATTATTTGAGCACTTCTAATTTTTTGCATGCTTAAATCACTATTTTTGGTGGTTGGTTTTGTCATCCCTTTGGTAAGTTTAGGCCATTGATCCTGGTTCAATCCCCATTTGGGTTGGTTTTCTTCACCCTTGTGCTAGTCACCTCAGTCACCCTATTTTTCATGCCAAAAATCAGCAAAAAACACATTAAAACCAGAGATTTTCCATGGTGAACTCCCCCATTGTTCCTGGTTTTGACTGCGGGGCATCGCAGGATTCCAAGCTCTCCAAGCAGACGGAGCGGCTACACGGCCTGGGTGAACTGCTCGAGGAGCGCGACGTGCAGCTGGCGGAACTGACCTCGGCGAGGAGGGATCGCGAGAAGCTGCGGGTGAAGCTGGCAGACCTGGAGGTGGATGGGGATGGGGGTTAGGGGTTAGGGGTTAGGGGTTGGGGGGATGGGGGGATGGGGGATGATATTTCTATTGGGGGGATGGTTCTTTTTGGGGTTGGAGGGGACCACATATTTTGAGAAAAAGATCTAGAATCCAGTAGGATAGGGGTGTTGGGATGAGGATGGGATGGGGGAGGTCAGGGATGAACGTTTTCTCTGCATTCAAATATACTTCAACATATATTTTGGGGATGTTGGGAGTTAGGATATTTAGGATGCTGACCCGCCATGGCATTGTAGATTCGGATTGTAGATTCGGTTAAAGTACGGATTTAAGCAATGAATACAGTAACTCAATTTCCCAGCAAGTTGGGGTGCCTGAAAATCACCCGAAAAGTCAGTGAAATCGCCATCTGAAAACAGGTGACCGCCTCTCCTCCCCCCAGGACGCCATGAAGACTCAGAAGAAGGTCCTGAGCCGCGCCGACGCGGAACGGCGATTGATCGCCCAGGAGGCGCGGCTCAAGGAGTCCGAACGACAGATCAAGGCCCCTCCGTGGGATGATGAACGGCCCCAAAATGGGGGTGGGATAGAAATTTCAGCTGCAAAAAATGGAAGGAAAAGGTACCCTCTGGTAAACTAACATAGCTATTGAAAATGGCCATTTATAGTGGATTTTCCCGTTAAAAATGGTGATTTTCCATAGCTATGTTAAGTTACCAGAGGGTACTGTCACTGTAAAAGCCACAGTTTTTTTGTGACTTGGAAAGGAGAAAATCACAGACGCATCAAGAAGCGCTGGTTGCACAAATTCATTAATTCACAGTGATAGACCGTTCATTTGTGATTTCTGACATTCGTGTTGAAGTTAGTAGGGTTACATAAGCCCACCTCAATAGTTTTGAATCAAGCTAGATGGCAACTCTTAGAGTTTCTATATGGATTTGACTGCTTTGACCATGGGTCCCAACCCATAATCCCCCAAAATGGTGAATATCCGAACCATTCAACTTCTGAGTTTAATTTTGGGCCAAAACCAGTAATCATCTGGTCTTTCTCGGGCCGTATCCAAAAAAGCCATAGATTTTGCTAGGAGCTGGGGGAAAACTTGCACAAAGAGCGTGAGGAGCGTCAGGCAGGGACATGGGGGGGTGAACCAAACAATCAACAAACCAAAACTGCACATTGTCTCTGTTTCACTGTACAACTGCGGCACGTCTGCGGACATGTCCACAGCTTTTCGCTCCACTGGTAGATGTCGAAATCCATGTTTTCCTCAGCAATTTTGACAATCCCTATGCTTGTTATTCACTGTCGTTGTTTCAGCCACTTTTCCGTGAAAACAAATTTGCGAAAGATGCGAAAGGGCCTTATCGAAGAACACATTCATTTTCAAAACCAATTTTCCGTTGTTCTGAGAGACATCAAAAAATGCCCCCGGAACATTCATCATCCTTTTATATGATTCAGTGATTCATCATCCACAAACATCCCCATAGCAATTCATTGGGAACACGGCGATTTTCTGCAGTTGCCACCAAGTCCACATTTATCCCATTCAGCATCCACGGAATTCCAGGGGTTCCAAGGCCCTTTAGAATGGGGGGTTTCATGCTGTCATTCCAGTTTAAAGAAAACGTTGGGTTCTGGCTCCCAAGGCACCTGGTGGTGGTTAAAGGGAAGTTCCCACCAAAACATATCAAGTATCCCTTAAACCCCGGTAAAAAAAGATAGCTTTATTTTGACCTATCATCCTAACTATCATTATAACCATAAGCTTACTTAGAAACCAACTTCTCTATGGGACAGCACCTTTGCATAGCATTGGTTATAGTATAAGTATTGTGTTTGAAAGTAACTTTGCAACAAGTAACTTGGGTCACCCAGTTTTTTTTTGACACCAGATTGGGTCTCATCCCATTGATTGTATTAAGCATCGATTATCCCATACGTACTATACTAAGTATAATTCATACCATTCTTAGTAATTATATAAATGGAATAGTACATTGTCATCATGGCGGGATTGATCTATATTACACCATTGATTAAGCCATATTTTCATCCCATAAATATGTTGGGATACTAAGTATTATACCATTAATATGTTGATTGTCCCACGGATTCCATCCGATGAAAAACTAAGTATTTCATACCATGAAATATCATCAAATATAATAATGGTTAATGATGGTTAACACTATAATATTAGTGTGGTTGATGATGATTAATCAATATAGGAATGATGAATGTTGATCAATGATGAAATATGAATGGATGAATATGGGTAAATTTGATCACGACCTCACGGTTCGACCGAACCCTGGAATCATGGTTTATTTTAGGGAAATGATCCCCATTCATGGCCGCAAGATTCAGGTTAGTGAAGTATTATAATTTACCCAGATTATATCATCATAACCCAACCACGCAAATTTTCGTGTTTTTTTCTTTTTTAATGGTGTTATGGACTGGTATGAAAAAATCCCATTGATCATAAGCATTATCTTCATTATTTAACATACTGATTCCATATCATATTACCTTCTGGTAATGACTAACAGTTCGCGACATAGAAAATGACCCAGTCGAAAGAACGTGGATTTACCCAGCTAGATCGCATTGCGAAAAATTTCAGTTCGTTATGTTAGTCATTACCAGAGGGTATATTATACCATTGATTCAGCCAGAGGGATTAATTGAGGCCCACATTACCAAAGGGATAAAATGGTGATTTTCCATAGTCATGTTATTATACCATTAACATACATTGGTATGGATCAATACCTATTAATACCATTTTTAGGGGGTTATTCACATCCATAAATCCCAGCTATTTTGATGTGAACTACAGGGTACAAGGTTTTGACACACTGCCATTATTCTCCCATTATTATCCCACTAATATTAATCTCACTACTATCCCACTATTATACCAATAACATATATATATACAGTATATATATAAATATATATATCTATCCCATGGATTCATCTTATCGTCCCTCCCAGGTGGTGACTTTGGAGCTGCGTTCCCTGGAGCAACGCTTGAACCACGGCAGCGTTTCGGCTGGCGCCATGGACGAGGCCAATGAGGCCATGGCCAAGGCAACGCAACGGGGAAAACGCTGGGAGTTTGGAGGGAAAAAGGTGGAAACACCTGGGGAAAACGTGGGGAAAAATGGGAAAATTGGACTTGGAAAATGTTTTTTGGATGGTTTTGAACGAAAGGTGGTTGAGTTTGGTTGGAGAAATAGGGAATTCCAGCCGGGAAAAACGTTAGATTTTAGATGTTCAGCCAAAAATTTCAGTCAAAATGCGTGATTCAACTTTGGCAGAGGTGAAGCTTGACAGGCTCAAGTGAACATCTCTAATATGAAAACTGGGGCACATATGATGCTAAATTCTCACAAAACATCCTTTATCAGCTGCTATCATCATTAGCAACTTCATCCCACTCAACATTACCATATTATATTACCAGATTGTATGAATATTCCTATCCCACTATATTATCCTCTGAAATTTTCCAGATTCTATACATGAATATTCCATAATATTCCTATCCCCCTATATTACCCTCTGGTAAACTAACATAACTATGGAAAATCACAATTTTCAATGGGTAAATCCACTATAAATCACCATTTTTCATCACTGAGTCCCCATGAAATCCCTCTCCCAATTTTCGACCGTTAAACATCCGATTCGATTCTCCGTGAGGAGCTGGCGGAGCAACAGGTGCAACTGGAGCAGCGCCGGGAGGAGGTGGTGAAGTTGGAGGAATCTCTGGGAGTCGCGCAGGTGGGCAGCGAAAATTGGGGAAGACTCTTCTGAGATTTCGATGTAAAACATTTGTTGAGGAGGAGTTGCTAAGAAAACATGGAGAGTTGAGATGACTAAAAAAAGAACAAATGATGTTGTATCCATGAAGAAAGGAGGTTTTCACCAGGAAAAACAAGCAGTTTCACCAACAAGAGTTTAGGATTTTGATTATTTTGCTTGGTCCTTACATGGAGGAACCCCCAAATGGCTATTTCAGTGAGAGAATGATCATCGACCAAGAGATCTTGGGTAGCTTATTTTCAGACCAAGCCATATTGTTGTTGCAATCATCGTTTTCGTCGACCTTCTCGTTGGGATTCACACGCGGTACATCATTGGTTGAATTGGACGATGATCAATTTGGGACAATCAACGGTGACGCAAACTTGATGCTTGCCGTATATTGGGGGGTTGCGAGTTCACACATTCGCTTTCAACGTTCAAGATGTGTTTGAAGAATGGGGATGCGTCAAAACTTGCGGATGGTTCGATACTACAAATGACAAGTTAAGTGGTTGGGTAAGAATCACAATCCAGACTTCTGTCTCCTGTGGGTGAACTGCTCATTTTCTCGGCCTCTTGGCTTTTTTTGGTCCCAGTATTCGGTGAAGAATTACGGCTTGTCCAAGAATCCAGAAATGTTTTCGAAGCAGTTGAACCATAAAAAATTCTCTTGTTGATTGGTTTATTGATTGGTTATTGATGGTTATTGAATCACCCCATCCCCCATTCAAAGCACGATTTTTTTTGTTTGTGGATCAAAAACGAGCTGCTTTCAGGCGGAGGTCAAAAAACTCAGTGAGCGCGTGAGACCGGAAGCAGGTGGGGTTCGCTGCGGATGTGAGGAATCCAAAGGTTGTGGCACCTTTTTTGGTTTTCGACCATCAAAACTGTGAGGATATAGGTGTGTGTTTTTCTATATGGATGAATTTGATCACGACCTCACTGTTCTCCCTCACTGGAAATCATGGTTAATAAGGGGAATCATCCCCAAATGGCCGCAAGATTCAGGTTGGTGAAATATTATAATTTACCCATATATATATATATATTCACATGCTATTTACATGATAAACGATGCTTGGTTGATGAATATATGTTGCAACCTAAAGAAGGGGTGGACATTGGTGATTTCGCAATTTTTTGGGTGTTAGGAGCAACCCTGTTGTAAGCCTTTAGCAGCACATGTGGATTTTGACGCCGCACAAAAAACGGTGGAGTCGTTGAGCGCCCACCGGCCCCGAGCGGTGTCCAGAAGAAGTGGCCGCGCTGCCGCAAGTGCAACGGAAGCTCCGAAAGTTAGAGGAGGTGGACCAGCAACTCGCGAGGCGCCTGGAGCTGGGGCAGCTGGGGGGTGTCGTCCATCTGGATCTGGTGATTGGTTCATTGGTTTCACTGGAATTGCATTTTGCATTTAGCTGGAGTGGAAAATCTGAATCTGCAGGTGCTGCTTGCTTTATTTAAACATCTTGGCACATGCAGTTTCGAGTGACTGGTACAGTTTCACCCGATTTCCGACCACCAACTGATGCCAGGGATGTCTTGGTACACCTGCAAGACAGAGAGCAACCTGGATGGCAAGTGATGCTTGAGCTCTAGGCCATAATAAAAAGTCAGAAAACTGCATGTTGCAAGGAACATTGTTCTAAGAAGCCAAAATGAGGGTTGGATCAGCAAAATTACATGATGTCATGTCTTAACAATCTCACGGAAGTCATGGTCCATTGAACAATTGTCGACAATTGAGTTGTGGCCACTATTTTGCTAGATGGTTGAACGCCCAGATTTCTATCTTTTGAGGCTTATTTCATCAACAAGTGGCAACTGTGACGATCTTTTGAGGATCCTCCGTGGGTTTCACAGCTTTGTCACCGAGGAACAGGATCGACACTCTAAACTCGACCGTCGCCTTGCTACGACAGACAGTGGATGATCTTCAGCCGCCCAAGGCCCACCGGAGTCGGGTGTGTTTTTTTTTTTTGAGCCAAAATGGGTGGTTTTATAGAACCACGGATGGGGTGAGATTTTCAAGTGTGCCATGTTTGAGTCCAGCTGGAATCAGCACTATAATATATATATATGTATATGTATATATGTATATGTATATATATATTTATGTATATATGTATAGCCTTGAACCACCAGCGCATGGGGTAAACCAACTAGGACTCGAGTAATGGACGACAAGACATGGGATCAAAGGAGTAAAAATGGGAGACCCAGATTTCTCTGCCACATTGAAAAAAAAACTGTTCCGTCCTTGGGGAAGCAAGTTTTCAGCCACAAAGGTCCATTTTTTTTTTGGGAAGTTTGAAAATTCCATGACCTTTTCGACCCCCAATGCGCCGAGCCATGTCAGACTGATGTCCAAACCAGAGAACTGTTCCAAGTTTGGTCAACCAACTTGTTGGTGTTTTAGGTGCATTCCTTCCCCAGAATCTTCCTAAAGACGAATTCTCACAAACAGGATACTCCCACACTATGGAGTCCTTCCAGTCACACCCATTTCCAATTCCATGCACTACTCGGATACCTAGTGGGATATCTAAGCTTAAAGTATGAGTAGAGCATGTCCATTATTATTATTATCATTATTATTATTATTATCATGATGATGATGATGATTATAACAATAATAATATATTATTATTATTATTGTTTATTATTATTATTGTAAGTCTCATGATTATCATTAATGACGGCACTATTTTTGTGATTATTAAATATTACTTCGAGTATTACTATTAGTATTGTTATTACAATCATGAAGAATGCGTAGTAATTTCAATGGTAATAGTAATAGTATCAGCAATAGAAATAGCAATGCCAGTAGTACAGGTAATATTATTACTATCATTATCATTATTATTATTGTAAGTCTCAAGTACTGGTAATAGTAGTATAATTCGTATGATTATTTGAAAGTTTTCGGCATTCCGCCGGCCCTCTGGCCTTTGGCCAGGTCCAAAGCAGGAGTTGTGTAACAGCTGGTTGGTCAAAAAGTTGGTTTGCGTAGAAGCTGGTGCGTGTAAAAGCTCGTTTGTGTAAGAGCCGGTTGGTGTAAAAGTGGGTTTCTACAGAAAGTACTTGGTGTAAAAGAGTGTTTGTGTAAAAGCTGGTTGGTGTAAAAGTTGGTTTGTGTAGAAGCTGGCGTGTGTAAGACCTTGGAGATTAAACAGAAAGGAGTCAAGTTGGCAGATGCAAAATGCTAGCGGCATGGCTGTGAGAGTGCATGTGGAGAAGGCGGTGAGTGTGCAGAGGAATGTACTTCTGCCTGGAACTCGCAGGAATCTGTGGAGAAAACGTGGAAAAATGCTGCATCCCAGGGGCGAGCCGGACAAAGAAGAAAAATCTCCTCCTGATGATGATGATGATGATGATGATGAGGACGACGACGACGACGACGACGACGATGAAGATAACGATGACGATGATGGTGGTGATGGTGACCACCGGGCCGATGGTGATATAAATAAGGTCAGTGCTATGTAGCTCCAAAAAAGAGACGAGACGAGACGACACGAGACTATACTAGACTATATTATACTAGACTGTACTAGAGTATACTATGCTATACGAAACTAGACTAAACGAGACTATACTAGACTATGTATACACGGGAGGGGGGAGAAGGGCAGCGAAAGCACAAATCCGTGGAAGGAACAAGTAATTTGTGAAGCCCAAGCTATCACAAGATGTCTCGCAAGAACGTCCACAAAACACGCCGGTAGCGGATTATAATCCATTATATTCCCATTATAATCCCGTTATTCCATTATAAAATTCCAGTCATCATCATTATACAGGATGGTGCCCCCCAGTTATAAGTTGGTTTATAAACCCCATTAACTATAGTTATATCTACCATAAACCATAGTTATGGGAGTTATAAACCAACTTAGCTAACTATGGGGCACCACCTTGTACCACCATGATACCACCATTAAAATCCAATATCAGTGGCGAAAATTGGCCAAGTCACCAGGAGGTGGCTGAAGCGGAGGAGCTCTGAGCGACGCAAGCGAGTTTTCGCGTCGTTCGTTTCACGGTGGAGCTTTGAACGTTGCCATTTGCGCTGCCCGGAGTTTCATCAAACATGGGTAGTGCGGAAAAAATTCTGGGGATATTATGGGGATATGTGGTAGTTACTGCGGAAAAAATCTGGGGATATGTCAGATATGTCAATTTTTTTCCACAAAGCAGCTTGATATGATAGCAGATTTCTCCATCTCAGGTCTGGGAGTCCCCCTGCCTGGCTCACATCATGGACGAGGGAAAATGATCCCAGGGGTTTTAATCATGGAACTGGAGGAGATGACGATTTTGGCTACTGGTTTTCCAGCATTTCAATCACTAGGCATGGTACCCTCCGGTAAACTAACAGTTCGCTATTGAAAATGGCCCAGTCGAAATAGTTGATTTACCCATTAATAGCATGGTGGATCTTTCCATAGGTATGTTCGTTTACCAGAGGGTATGTGCTAGTGAAGATTCTTCAATGACTACCCATCCTGTGTTGTATGCTGTCCTGACCGTTGTCTTGTCCAATCGCATTTGGCAAAAAACAGTCAATCACCTAGGTCCGCTAGTCCGTGGATGATAGATGTATTTGCTCGGCAGACTCACTTGGGGCATTGTGTGAATGGCGACATGTTATGCGTGGAGAGCTTCCAAGCAGCTATGTGCCCAGTTGGACTCCGGAATGATTCAGCCATCTTCTGTTGGAGATGTTTTTGGATCTGCAGTGCGATGGGGAAATGGTTGATCATCAGTATATGATGTGTATATATATATATACACGTAATAGTATATTATTATACATATGATTACGGCAATGATTACGTATATATATATATATATTCCTGAATATACACCAACAAAATGCGGTTCATTGAAACATCTGTTTATAATCAATGAAATACACCTCCAAAATTCAACACCGAACCCCAAACATAGGGGTCTGGAAGATGAGTGTCCTCTTCAATATGCTCGCACAGATGTGGGTTCCCTGTGACCTTTTCAGAGTGTACACCTTCACACCACCTATTTGGTCCAGTTGCTGCTAAACCGTTTTCGACAGGTGAGGTGGAACTTTGGCCATGAGAATTGGCTAAAATGACCAGCATTTTTTGAGGCTTCTAGACGATTACGAGTGACAACTGTGGACATTTCATTGTTCTTGTTGTATATATATATGTATATAATGATGGTTATAAACCATATAATGATGGTATATATATATATAATGTATATAGTATAAACCATATATATTTCGTTGTTGAACCAAGTCCCTCCGGGCACGTGCTTTTCGCGCGACCGATGTCTCGGCTGGGAAAAGCCCAGCTGAATGCCAGAAAAACTATGAGGTTGCTGGGATTGTTTCTTGGGACTTGGGCGAATTTTCAGACCTCATGGGTCCGTACGGTATCTCTGTGTTTTTAGATGTTTTTAGGAACAACACACACACAGACAGACACATGAAATATTCAGCCTAGATTCTATTCATCCACCAACGTGATTGGAGGTCCCATGCTTAAATACCCAGAAAGATGGATGGATGATCTCAGGAACACTGCAGATCCAGGCCAGCAGTTTCAAAACCAACACTTGGTTGATGTTTTTTCAGGGATTCGATTCTACCCACATGTTGGGGTCACTGGGTCATGGCTAAACCAAGCCATTCGTTCTGAATTGGGCCCCAGCCTTTTTGTGAAGGCATGAGCCGGGCAGAAGACTCGGGGTATTTTGAATGGAATGATCTTCGAGAGAAAAGCATAGGAAACCCAACCTGCCTTGTGGTTCTACCATGTTTTGACTGGCAGTCTGACATGGTGATTCTAGAAGCAAACATCCGGATATTCACCAAATGAAACTGGACATTTCACCAGACATTTTGAACCAAGTCTGGGCTATAATGGGACACCATGCTCTTTCTTTGGGGCACTCAACTTTGAACGTCATGAGGTGTCCCTGCCTATTTTCATATTGATGGCAGTTCCAAATCCAACCAACCCTCATTTTCCTGGAAGAAAAAAAACAAAACTGCAAAGTTGAAGATTTCTTGAAACTCAAAACGCTTGCGACCGGCGATGTGTACGATGCCGTGCTGAACCAAGCAGGGCGAGACTGGACCCAATGCCCGGCTCTCAGGTCAATTTTGCAGGTCCGCCTTTTGGACACATTTTCAGCAACAAAATGGGAATCGAACCACTAAGAAGTGGGAAGCAACAATCGGGAATGTACGCAATAAATCTGGGCTGTCAGGCGTCGTTGGTTCAAACGTTCAACGTTCCACATCTCAAAACGACCTCGGCACGACGTCACAAGAAATGATGGGCAAGTAGGGGTATCCCAAAATCATTGTTGTTCAGGTTGGTGCCAACAGAAATCCCGGATAAAACTACGTAGTCATTCTACCCGCATGGAATGGTTGGTTCCCTTATTGTATCCAATCATTTTCCCAA